TTATTAGCCTAGGGCCTAGGCCCTAGGTCAGTGGCACAGCCGCCAAATATCTTATGTCCGATAAATTTCGCCTACACCTACTATAGTCTAAGGGCCTGCAACTGACATTTGCTTAACCTAGGATTAGGCTATTTCCTTTGGCCATGGTTGGCTGAACATTTTAAACGTAGCAATAATAATAGGTAGGAGACATAATATGCCCTTCTTACCTTAGGCTTAGTAGACGCCTACTACCTACTACTAGGCCTAGGGCCTACGGAAGCAGGTCAACTCGGCCACAAGTCAACTCGGTCACAGTCAACTCGGGCACAAGTCAACTCGGCCACAAATCAACTCGGCCACAAAAAGTTCGGATGCAGTTAACTCGGCCACAAGTCAACTCGGCCACAAGTCAAATCGGCCACAAGTTAACTCGGCCACAAGTCAACTCGGCCACAAGTTATTTATAATTAAAATCTTCAATATGATTAAAATGAAGTACACAGTATATTTTAGTAAAATTCTGATCATCGTCTCATTGTCGTGAGATCGTTGTATACATTTCTTCAGTACTCTTGTTCAACAGAGAAAACCCGCCACTTACAGAATGGAATAAAATCTGGCAATTGTAACATTAACAATTTAAGCAATCTTAATTATTAAGAAAAACACATGTATTAATGTTTAATTTTGTTCACGTTAAAACACTGACATAAATCATGAGTACATACTGTAGACCTAATCATAAAAAATTGAAATAGAAAAACTACATTATGATTTTTTTAAATGTTTTTAAATCCGACTAAAATCAAATGAATGCACGATGGCGTGCATTTCGATACTATATTCTTCAGAACCACGCCCAAGAATTAGGCCTACGTTAAAATTAGGTGGGGTGCAGCATCTAGTATCAATTATCCACAATAGGAACTAAACAATTGGTATTGTCGAGTGACAGACTTCAGTCCTTCATATTTGTTCGACCATTGCGGCTATGTTTGAAACCCGTCAGTGACAAGGATGCATCCAATGACGTGAATCACCAGTGACATGTCGGTCCTTTTCAAATATTTACTTTAATAATACTAATTAGTCATAATACTCTTATACACATCTAGATGTGTATAAGAGACAGTAATAAAGGTGATAACAACAACAATATTAATAGTAATATTTATTTCAACAATACTAATAGTAATAATATGGTAATAATAACGATATTTAAATATCTATTTTAATAATACTAATTAGTGATAATAACATTAAAGGTAATAACAGCAATAATAAATTAAAGATAACGTTTATTTTTATAATAATAGTACACTAATTAGTAGTAATAATAATAATAATTACGATACTTATAATACTAGGCCTACTAGTAATAATAGGGTAATAATATCGATAATAAAGGTGACAACAACAATCATAAATAACAATAATAATAATAATAATAATAATATGAGAAAAATACCAATAAAACACCAATAACAATATTTTTAAAATTACTATTATTAAAATAATAATACTAAGACTAATATATAATAATAATATGAATTAAAAAAAATAGAGAATTTTGTATTATTTATATGGTAACAATAATAATATCAGCAAAAATTTAAACAATACATAATGTTAATGCTAAGACTAATAATTAATATTAAAACTAACGGTAATAAAAATAACAATAATAATAAAAATGACACCAATAATAGCAGCAATAATAACAATTGTGGCCGAATTGACTTGTGGCCGAGTTAACTTGTGGCCGAGTTGACTGCAGCCGAACTTTTTGTGGCCGAGTTGATTTGTGGCCGAGTTGACTTGTGGCCGAGTTGGATCGAATTCGGGCCTACTACTACTACCCTACCAACCTAGATTTTCCGAATAGGCCTACCTCTTTTTCAGAATATCCAACGCCTTGGGTGATATCTTTCGAGTTACATAAATATATCTGGTCATCCTAGAATTCACTTTTCGACAAAAATTTAAGAATAGAGGCTTAGAATACAATCTAGGTCTAGAAATGTTCGCTAACATTAACAACGACATTGATTTGAGCATCGTTCACTTGAACGTGGGCGCTTCCATTTTGTCGGCTGCTCATCTGTGCTAGTAAAATGTCCATATACTATAAATAAGAGTTTTAATAATAATAAATAGTACCTTTAGAAATTTTTAAAATACATATTTTAAAAATAAAATTATTGTGCATATTTGTATATTTTTTCATAATACTATATTCAGTAAAAATTTATAACACAAGAGTATTTGTTGTTACTCAAACATGATTGGGGGCGCTCCATTAATAACGATTAGCCTAGAGGCCGGCTTAGCCAGGTTTCACAATTTATTTGTTGCTGTTTAAAACTATAAATACTAACAGGTACACGATAATAGTAAAGCACGATGAATGTTGATCTTGAACTTAAAAAGGTAATTACATTGATCAGTCAATAATTATTTTAGCTTATCCTAGTCCTGGCCTAACTCAGGTCTAGGGACTATGCCTAGGCCTACCCTAGAGAGTTGGGCTCCTCGCCTGCCGACCTAGATTAGGCCTAGCCTAGCCTTGTTTTGTTGTCAACGTAACTAGGCTACAAAAAAAGCTAATATTTTAATTATAATCAGGCTTAGGAGATGTAGCAACTAGCCTAGGGTAGGTGTATGCTAGGATAGGTTGAGTATAGGCGCTGTCGACGTCGAATGATGATGAGTAAAAGTAAAACTTTCAATTAAATTGAGCCTAGCCTAGGCTAGGTCTAGAGGCTTACATGCCTAGCTAGCTAGGCCTAGGGGCATTTGTTATCTGAGGTTTTTTGTTAGAGAAACTGTCTACTGATCCGTCTGTCTCACAATGAATTTGTGAGAACTGGTCATTGACCAGGAGTTTGTCATGCTCATTGAAGCATACTATGTAAGAATGATGGAATTTGGTAACAGATTGGGGGAGCATTTGCTGTGGTCTCTATGTCTTCCAGCTTTAAAATTAATCTTGCACTTAGTATACATGGTCTGTTGTTATGTAGTTCTGTTGAATAAATTTAGTGTATGCTGGAATTCACACTTGAGAGAATACAGAGAAATAGAGGGAGGAGCCCCCCCCCCCCGAGAGGACTTTCACTGATAGGGTGTCAATACCTCCTCAGTCCCACCATAGCTGGGTGGGGCTGAGGTAAGAAAATTGATGATTATGGCACCTCTAGATGGCTGGTAGTGGCACTCTCAGACTTAAATTTTAATATTTTCTTTTTTGCTCTATTTGATTTATAATTTTTGAAAAAATTAGGGGCCCCCTCATAAATCCACCACTGTATTGTGTATAATTGTTTCCTAAGGGGGATGTAATAATGGTGCTTTCTTGAATATTTTTATGCATGATTAGATTCAAGTGGATAGAGAAGCTGGCACAGGTGTTCTTCCCCCCCCCCCCAACTTTGAAATTATCATCATCATTAATATTAATAATATAACGAAACGATGATGATTTATAAGTGGACGTTTTATGCATAATATCAACTACATATCAATTACTTATTTTAAATTTATCTTTTTAATTTTATATTAATCATTTACATTTTAATTTTACAAATTATCTTTTAATTATTATCAATTTAGTTATTGTAACTATTATTCAGTTCAACCGTATTTTCATTCCAATTACCTCCTCATTCTATTTCCTTTTCCATTCATGATTCATTTCATTTTATTTTAGTTTTCTTATCTGTATCACTGTTTACATTTAGTTATTAATATTACTGATTAAATTATTTTAAGACTAATATATAATAATATATGAATAAAAAAATCGAGAATTTTGTATTATTTATATGGTAACAATAATAATATCAGCAAAAATTTAAACAATACATAATGTTAATTAATGCTAAGACTAATAATTAATATTAAAACTAACGGTAATAAAAATAACAATAATAATAAAAATGACACCAATATAGCAGCAATAATAACAATTGTGGCCGAGTTAACTTGTGGCCGAGTTGACTTGTGGCCGAGTTGACTGCAGCCGAACTTTTTGTGGCCGAGTTGACTTGTGGCCACACATACACCCATATACACATACATATATATATATATATATATATACATACACACATACATATACACATAACCACATACACACACACACACACACATATATATACTATCACCATTGAATGGACTTGCATATTTATTTTTATTTATTTTATTGCAGGCTTTCCAAGAGCAACAAGTAAAGATGGTAGAAACCACACAGCAGGTTAGGGTTGCAGATACACAGATCGAGTTTCAGAAACGATCACAACAACACGCCAAGCTAACTAGCACGGAGATAGGAAAATATCCACAGGAAACAAGAGTCTATGAAGGGGTTGGTAGAATGTAAGTTTCCACGGTGAATTAATCTGTCTGAAGACAATATTTATGGTAACAATGGCAATATTGTTTTTTTTTTTTTTGTTTGTTTGTTTTTATGATAATAATGATTATGATGTACAGTTGTGATACTGATAATAATTAAAATTATGATAGTGATAATGATGATACTGTTATGATGGTGATGACAACGTCAGATGTTAAATTGTCAAATTACCTTATAGCTTTATATTAATATTAATGCTTGTCTTTTTTGGGGGTTAATTGCCAATACTGTACTTGTAATTTTTTTATTTTTTTTTTTGCTTTTTAAAAAAATATTTTTGCTCTATCAAAAAAGTAATGTTTGAGGTTTCTTTTACACTTTTAATCTTGGTTCCTTTGTGAAACCCTGTATGTGCTTGATAAAGCCATAACCTGGGTTTTTGTTACATTCTTTTTATTTTTTTTTAATGAAGAATGATTGATGATGATGATAATAAGTATAATGATAATAGTAATGATAATAATAATAATAATAATACTGTTATGATGATGATGAAGTCAGATGTTAGTGGTGGTGCTAGTTTGATAGTGATGATGTATGATGATGATGATCATTATAGTGGTGGTGGTGGTGGCAGTGATGGTGATAATTATGATGCTAATGGTAATTGTGGTGGTGGTAATGATGATAACTATTGTGGTGATATGATGGCAAAGATGATGGTGATGCAAATGATGATGTTGGTAGTTGTCACACTTATGATGATGATGATGATGATGGTGATGGTGATGATGACAACGACATTGACAACAATGATGATGATGATAACAGATTGTGAAATTGCCTTATACATTTATATTATTATGAATGCTTGTTTTTTTCTTTGGAACATTTCTAATATACAATTATTTTCCTTGCAGGTTTATATTACAAGATATTCCCACTATTCAAAACTTACTGTCTGAGAGAGTAAAGAAATGTGAAACTAAAGTCAAGGATTTAGAAGTAAGAAATTTACTAAATTCCCAATGAACAATTTGATGTATTTTATTAGTAACTTGATGTAGAATGAAGTCCATGCTAGCTTCATTCATGATTATATTCTATACCAGCATTTATGTGTAGTCACATATGTTACATTTAAGTATCTGCCAATAACATGAATATGCATGAGAAGTCATGTTATTGGTGAACATGTAACACGTTTCATGTTTAGGTTAATATATGATACATTATTAATTTTAGATAATGTTTTTAAATTACCCTTTTCATTTGATTTCTTAGTCGAAGAAGACATATTTGGAGCGTACACTGAAGGAAAGCGAAGATAACTTACGTGAGATGGTCGCATCCAAACAAGCTATATTGAAATGAAGTATATAAGAACTTTTTTGGGAAAAATCGTAGATGTCAAGAAGTGTATACATTCGCCTCCAAGTGATGCATTCTTGCACAAGAGCGCCAACATTATAAGATTGGCTAGAGCAGCATCGTGACATGCTTAAATATTGGTTGTGCATTGGACAGCAATTTAGAGACAAATTAAACTCGGTGGTGCTTGAATTTTTTACATTACATTGGAGTCATTCCAGTACTGTACTCTTATAATTAAACTAATTCTTATGAATCCACTGAATTTTCATGCTAAGTTTATCCTAGGCTTCATTCAGATATCTCTTATAATTCAGAACAGCCTAGCAGTGCCTTTAGCAAGCAAAGCCTCACTTTTATTTATTTTTTTTTTTTTTCAGTCCTAGCTTCCTTGCTTTGCTTGCTGGTACAGCTGTACAGTATTTTGTTTCATTGTTATATTCACAACTTGCCTGAGTTTTTGATAGTGTTTAAAGATACAGTTCAGGGGGTCCCAATTCTTTTGCAAATCACAGGAGTCTCTCGCACTACCTTCAGCAAGAAAGAATCTCTGGGAAAATAACACATCTCCCTCATGGTAGCACGTTTTTGCAAGTTTTTATTACAAAGTACTGTATTGTCAAATGTGTCCCTAGAAATCAGTGCCAGTTAGTATTATATCTGTCTCTTATACACATCTAGAGGAACGGCCTCCCGCACTCCCGCAAGCAAGCAAGAATCTCCTGGAAATTAACCCATCTCTGCATATGTATAATTTTGCCTGTTTTTACTGCTTCATTATCAATTTTTTCACAGATGTCAGAGCCAATGTGTATCACTGTGCAGCAAAATAAAATGAAATGTGTTAAACAAGCTCATTAACCAGATCAGTGGCTGATTCAAGGAAGGGGGATGCTGGCTCGGGACCCCTAAATATTTCAAAGCTATGAATGATATAGAAAAGAAAATTATATTCAAATTTAAATCTGGGAGGCCCATTTTCAGCCATCTATAGGTGATATAATCATACATTTTCTTTCCTGAGCTCCAACCATATTGGGGCTAATGTGGTTTAGACCCTCCATCTGTACAAAGTCCCTTCGTTCACCCACTCTTCGGCCCCTCCCCCCCCCCTTTTAACCCACCACCGCAGATCTCCCGGAAATGCCTTCTTCCAACTTGTGACTCCTTTGTTTCATAAAGCTCATTTGAACAGATCTGCTAGATGCGGATTTTTTCAGCTTGACACCCCAGACAGTGGTCCAGTAATACTGTATATCGATGTTTGTGTACTTTTTTGCTTGCAAAATAAAGGAATTGCATAGTAAAATATTTGTTGTGTATTCCATGATTTATTGTTGCTGTGATTGAGTTACTAATAATTCTATCCTTCCAATTTTAATTTTTTTTTCAAACCAAAGCTGATTAGTGAAGCCCAGTTACTTGTAAGAATGTTAATCCTTGTTTTCTAATACATTTATTTGAATATAAAATGGCATATGAAAGGCTTGTAAATCGAATTAAGATCATGTATAACCACAACCATATTCTCAATTGCATAATTCCTAGACTACCATGTGTTCAGAATGTATATTGAATACTCATTGTATTTAGATAAACATTTGTTGTGGGTGTAAGATTATTGTCTATCCCTTTGAAGCATGAGAGCTGGAACTATCAGCCCGTCCTCAATGGTTCTAATCACAGTGGAGGATCGAAGGGGCCCCCTTTCTCTTCCTCCCCCTCCCAAATTTTTCAACGTAAAAAAAAATAATGAAGACAAAAAGAAAATTTTATTCTGGGAGTGCTATCTCCGGCCATTTAGAAGTGCCATAATCATAATATTTCTTGGTGGGGCCGAGGCAGTGGCGAACCTAGAGGGTGAGAGGGACACACGCCCCTCCAAAAATTACTCGCGCTTGAACCCCCTCCCCAGTCAGTGTTAAAAAGCACCAAAAGCAGCACCGGGCTGAGGTGGATGGATCTTCTATCTAAAAGTTTCTCGCTTGGCCACGACCCTTTGTTACGGATTCCAGGATCCGCCACTAAATCATCAGCAACCATGCTAAATTTAAATCGTCTGCCTGTTATGATATTTATCTTCCTTAAGGCTCTACAATGAATGTGTAATGCTAAATTGACATTAATGTTCACAACATCTAACAAGATTCCAATGGAATTGAACTAATAGAAAGTAAATACAACAAATAAACTATGTCGAGATGTTTTATTTTACTCTTGATTTGTAAGCTGATTATATTGGTAGAGAAAGTTATACAGTAGGCTTATAATACTTGTAGTTCCCTTGACTGGTATGTCCCTGGTTGATGAATAGAATGGAGAGGGATGAGAACAGAATTGCGTGTACCTTGTGAACATAAAGAGACGTTCTCTTCCCCCAGATGAAGTGGTGGCTCTAAGATATACATTTACAGAGGTGGGGGGGGGGGGGAGAGAGAAAGCTGCCTGACAGGAAGACCTGACTGCTTTCGGTAGAGGCGAAAACGTAATATGCCTTGGCTGAATCCAATGGTAAGTTTGCTCAGTGCTTGCTTGGATCAGGGAGTTTGATCATGGTTTCTATTTCGTTCGGGGTTAGGACTGCCCTGAGGACTGTCTGCGCCGCTTGCGGGTGGGTGATGGTTATGAAAAAAAAAGGATTGTGCCTGGGCCGTAGTTCCCTAACTCGACTACAGTATGTTCCTGGGGATGGATGGGATGGGCATAGCGAAAGGCCTGCTATCGGATGGATAACGGTGAAGCCAACGACGATGCTGTACCGTAGTTTTCTATATTTGATGCCGTAAAAAAATGTTGGAGGAATGGGGATGAAATATGGGGTGGACGAGGAACATTTTTTCTTTGCTTAAATATGAGATACAATATTATGCATGGGTATACCATGGAGTTTTCTTGTTTAATAAACGTGCAATACTGAATAATTTCTTGACACTTAAGTATTTGGACACGGGGACTAGGCCTACTTAAAAGTCATAGTTGCAGCTGACTTGAAACCAGCCCTTATATTATGCATTCACGTCTTAACGAGCCGTCAATCTCTTGGCGCGTGCCATTCTTTATAGCTAACGTTAAGACTTTTTCAATTATTGAACTATCACACACAAGAGAGGCCTATTGTGCCACATACTGGAAGCTCAATAGAGTTATGACGGTCAAGTAGTTATGTATTAGCCAATCGATGGTCGCGTGTGTCTTTTTGGTTTGTGATTGGTTAAGGAATTAGATATTCTCTGCGATTTACATGGAGTTACCTAAGTAAAACCCTAAGAAATAAACCAATCAGTGGTCTACGTGTGTCATTTAAGCCTGTGATTGGCTAAACACCTTAATTGTTGTCTGCAATTACGTAACTGAGAGAAAGTACATTGATCTATTGTATTATATATGGCATAAGTTAACCATCAAATCATGTTTATTTTGAAATAATGCAGTGAACAAACAAAAACATGGATTATCTCAAAAAGAATCGACGCACTAAGCGTGTTTTTTTTTTTCTTTTCTTTTTCTATCTTTTTTTTTTTTTTTTTTTTTTTTTTGCGCTTGGGTACCGACAGTAACTCACGTGATTTCACGTCTAAGATAAACAAAAACATGGATTATTTCAAAAAGAATCGACGTACTAAGCGTGTTTTTTTTTTTCTTTTCTTTTCTTTCTATCTTTTTTTTTTTTTTTTTTTAGTTTATTTTTTTTTTTTGCGCTTGGGTACCGACAGTAACTCACGTGATTTCACGTCTAAGATACCCTGCTATCTTTAAAAGTTGATCATTAATACTATTCATTATGCAAAATGTAAATAAAAGGCATACCCGCAACAGCTAAAACCCCGTGCATTCGAGTCGAAGTCAGTTGTCGAAAAGATAATGCTGTTGGTGACAACGTGAACAAGTAAAATAACCGTCCTGAATTCTGAACAAGCGATCCTGATTTCAATTAAATACCATCTAATTATTCGATATATTTAAATAATCAGTACAGGTAGTAATTCTCTTCGTTATAAGGGATCACGGAGTAAATTTTAGGATGTTTTCGCCAGTCATGAAGAAAACAAGCACTCCAGCGGACTATGTTCTCTATCCTCTTACTAATGGACAAGATGCACAATTCTGCTTGCAGGAGTCAGGAACAGACAATTCTAATGCAACAGATGCATACCAACAAATGGACTTCAGAAGCTACGGCCTGGCGGAATGGAGATATCATAGCAAAGGAAATAGTCATTGCAATCAGACTTCATTTGTTCTTTCTGGGCAGCAGATTTCGCAGAATCTCGCAGTAGGCATACATAATTGTGTCTTGAATAAGACCTCGAGTTCGGCAGATGAGGACCGGAGGATGATAGTAAACGCAAGAGAAAGGAGGCGTATGCGAAAGATGAACGAAGCAATGGACGCACTGCGTCGTGTCGTGCCGAATTATCCATCCAAGGGTAAAACAAGTAAAATGGAGACTTTGCTGTTAGCACAAACGTATATTTTGGCGTTATCACGGTTGCTAAAGGAGCCGGATCGTAATGGAGATGATATTCAAGTTGACGAAAACTCGTTGGCTGCTAGCATAACGGATAAAATCGACGCCAGCGAGACGTGACATCATTCAAAGAACGCAAAATACAGCAGCGTATTCTTTAAAAAAACTGTTTCTATAGAACTACTACAGACAAACATATAATGCATTCCGAAGAAGAATTGGTTCTTCTGACCAGGACTCACCAAGTTGTTGCTATCGTATTTAATCATTGGACCTTTAAATAAAACTTCTGATGTAAACCTTTTAAGAACAGTCTTGTTGGTTTAATGGAACGAGTAAAATATAGGCCTATTATAATATAATACGCTTGTTTTCAAGTACCAGTAGACACCATTCGATTAAAATAGGAATAACAATTATATTATATGGTGCTTATTATTTTATATTATGTATATATTAATTCTTGTATTTTTAAGAGATTTTAAATAACTTCAAAGAATCGACGCACAACAAGTGTTTTTTTTTGGTTTTTTTTTTTTTTTTTTTTTTTTTCTCTTTTCTTTTGTCCATGGGTCTATTCTTTATTTCTTTATTATATATTTAGTTATTTTATATATATATATAACCGGCAGTAACTCACGTGATTCCACGTCTAAAACACTCTAATATAATACGCTTGTTTTCAAGTACTCACCACTCGATTAAAATAGGAATAGCAATTATATTATATGGTGCTTATTATTTTATATTATGTATATATTAATTCTTGTATTTTTAAGAGATTTTAAATAACTTCAAAGAATCGACGCACAACAAGTGTTTTTTTTTCTTTTCTTTTCTTTTTTCTTTTTGCTTGGGTACCGTACCGGCAGTAACTCACGTGATTCCACGTCTAAAACACTCTAATATAATACGCTTGTTTTCAAGTACTCACCACTCGATTAAAATAGGAATAGCAATTATATTATATGGTGCTTATTATTTTATATGTATATCTCAATGTTTGTATGTTTAAGACATTTTAAAGAAACGATGTCGAATGAATATAACAAGTGTAAATAACGTCTAATTTGGATCAAAGGGGTAGTTTAGGCACGCATATTAGGAGTATAATTTCGCGCTTGTATTTAACCGTTTGGGTAATATCAGATCAGGAAATGTATTATAATGTTAGTATTCATATAATAATTAGGCCATGCATTTTATAAAATCATTTTCTAGCAATAAAGTTTCCTACATTGTATGTATTTTGTACCGTATTATATTTTAATTTCTTTTGTTTATATCTCTTCTTCCAATAGCGTGGCGGCAATAACAGAAAGTCTTGAGTGTCATGATTGAAATATAACAATAACAAAAGCTTTTATAATATTAAAATTATGTATAATTTGAATAGCAAAGAACAATATTAAATACCGTATTTATTTGAATAAACGCCCCGCTTTGAATAAACGCCACCCTCGAATAAACGCTCCCCTCAGGGCCTCATTTGGAATAAATGCCTCCCTCGAATAACCCCCCACCCCAATGACTGTAAACAAGACTATTGGAAGCAACATCATTCTCAACACATTCTAATAATGTTTTACTCCAGTGGAATTACATTTTTCTAACTTGGTTAGGGTCAATTAGTCTTTATGATCATGTAATAACACCAATTATGAGAGGCGTTTATTATTAATCGTCATTCATTACTGTATAGGCTTAAGTTCCATAGCAAGCAGAAAAAGATAAAGCGATTGCGAACATTGTGATTGGGTAGGTAATTTTCTTTGAGCAGCATAGAGGCGGTATAGGCCTATATTATAAGCAAAGTAAGAAAATGACGTTTACACAACGTTCAAAGTTACTTTAACTCGGCCAATTAAGGAGATTTATGTTTTCGCCCCTGTTTATTTGTGTGTTTGTCTGTGAACAGCCTACAACGTTATATGCCTATGTGTTTGATAGATGCAAAAATAACCTATCCTAATAGTTGAATGTGTTGCTAAAATAAAGAAAATATACGTTTTTAACAAAATAGAACATTAATTTTAAAAAAATTAACTCAATTAAAGGTTAACTCAGGGAAATACCACGATGGGACATCCAATATTATGTATTTATTTAAATTAAATTGATATATATATA